TGGAACAGGATATGCAAAAAGTGCTTCTTCCCGTTCTTCTTGGTGAGGCTCACCGCAACGTACAACAAGCAGATGGCGAGCCGGAAGCGGGAGCTCTTCGGCAGCCTGCGGGAGCACGCGAGCCCCTCGGGGGAGCTCTGCCTGCTGGAGCTGGGCTGTGGCACCGGGGCCAACTTCCAGTTCTATCCGCCCGGATGCAGGGTGACCTGTGTTGACCCCAACCCCAACTTTGAGAAGTTCTTGATCAAGAGCATCGCTGAGAACCGACACGTGCAGTTTGAGCGCTTCGTGGTGGCGGCCGGGGAGAACATGCACCCGGTGGCCGATGGCTCCATGGACGTGGTGGTGTGCACCCTGGTCCTGTGCTCCGTGGAGAACCAGGAGCGCATCCTCCAGGAGGTGCGCCGAGTGCTGAGGCCGGTGAGTGTCAGCGTGTGAGGAGGGCTGGTTAGCAGCAGCCACATCACCAAGAGCGGGCCTGTCACTTTCAGCTGAATCAAACGTTCTAAAGAGAAGACACTATTGATTTTTTTAAAAAAAATCATAGAATGGGGAAGAAGCTATAAAGGGAAAGACTGGTAAACCTGAATACACAAAATTTTTAAACTGCAAGGAGGAATGAAGGGTCCCGGGTTCGATTCAGGTCAAGGGCACATGCCTGGGTTGCGGCTCTATCCCCTGGAGGGGGCGTGTAGGAGGCAGCCAATCAATGACTCTCTCATCATTGATGTTTCTATCTCTCTCTCCCTCTCCCTTCCTCTCTGAAACCAATAAAAACATTTTTTTTTAAAAAAAAGAAGTTAAACTGCAGGGGGGGAAAGTACTACAAACAAGAACAAACTTAGAAAAAATATTTGCCAGCAACGATAGACAAAGGGTTAACTTTCTTCCTATTAAATGACATTACTAGTCAAAGGTCAGTAGGATTTTTTACAATATGTTTTTACTGATCTCAGAGTGAGGAAGGGAGAGGAGAGAGAGAAATATCAGTGAGAGAGAAACATTGATTGGATGCCTCCTGCACACCCCCTTCTTGGGACTGAGCCCGCAACTTGGGCACGTACCCTGACGGGGAATCGAACCAGTGACCTTCTGGTGCAGGGGCTGATGCTCAACCAACTGAGCCACACCTGCCAGGTGGTAGGATTTTTTAAAATTATTAAGAAAAACACACGGGAAAAAATAAGCAAAGAGCAGGAACAGAAATATAACTAAAAACAGCCAATAAATGATTAATATGCTCAACGTAACAATTAAAGAACAAATTAGAGCAAGATACCATTTTTATCTATTATGCTGTCAGAGACTTTTAAGGTCTGTATGGTGTTGGGGTGAATTTGGGAGATTGGACACCCCATGCACATGGGAGAAAGTGCTCTCCTTAGAGGGCGATTTGATAATATCAAAGTATTTTTTTTACCTAAGTTTATTGGAGTGACATTGATCAATAAAATGATACAGGTTTCAGGTGTACAGTTCTGTAACACATCATGCATATTGCACTGTATGCTTACCGCCCAAAGTCACATCTCCTTCCATCACCATACCTTTGACCCTCTTTACCCTTACTACCTCCCACCCCTTTCCTCTCTGGAAACTACCATACTGTTGTCTGTGTCTATGAGCTGTTGTTTCTTTGCTCATTGTTGTCATATATATATTTTTTTTAATTTTTTTATTTTTTAAAGAGCTCTTAGGTTGCTTCCACTGTGAATAATGCTGCAATGAACATAGGCATACATATATCTTTACAAACAAATGTTTTCAAAATTTTCTGGTAGATACCGAAAAGATGAGTGGCTGGGTCATATGGGAACTCTATTCCTAATTTTTTGAGGATTCTCCATACTGCTGTCCATAGTGTCGGTACCATGTTTATGTCCGTTTTATATCCCACATATGAGTGAAATCACAGAGTTCTCGACTTTTTCTGTCTGACTTATTTCACTTAGCATGATAGTCTCAAGACCCATCCATGTTGTTGCAAACAACAGTATTTCATATTTTCTTATGGCCGAGTAGTATTCCATTGTACAATACCATGTTTATGTTCCCACCAGCAGTGAAAGAGGATTCCTTTTTCTCTACAACTTCTCTAATAGTAGAAGAAAATATATTAAACTAAAGGACTTTGATCTTAGAGAGGATTCTATGAGCTTGACCTCAAAGGCAAGGGAAGCAAAAGTAAAGATATCAAAATGTAACGTGAACTTGCTATTTTACCCAGTATGAATTTACCCTATAGATATGCTGCACAAATGTGCAAATACTCCTCCATTATAGTTTTTGTAATGGCACAAATTGGAAATAACCTAGGAGTCCTAAAAGCCAACAAGGAGGACTTATCATGTGGACATGAACAAGTTCCCAAGAGATAATGTTCAAGGAAAAAAATCGAAGTGTAGAATATGATGTAGAGTATAAACCTACATCAAAGTGTGTGAGGAGGGAAAGAATATACCTAAATATATATATACACTGAGTGGACAGATTATTACGACCACCCATCAGTACAATGAAGTGAATTAGGTATGCAAATAATAATAATAATAATAATAAAACCTTGAGAGTATTTGCTTAAGAAGTTTTCAATATTCAGTATTTTTGGAAGTGTCAATGAAGTACTGATGGGGTGGTCATAATAATCTGGCCACTCAATGTATATGTTAATGGGAATGACAGACAAAAAAATATTAGCAGTGGTACCTCTTGGGAATGGGATGGAGGTGAGGAAGAATTTCTTTTCATTTTACACCTTTCTGCATAGATTGAAATTCTTAATACCTGTATGTAATTTCCACATTTACCTTTATTAATTTTTTAAAAGCTAGGTTAAAATAGTTTTACTCTAAATATAGTTGAACACAAAGTATGGATATTTTAACATTTAATTTACTTTTCTAGCAGAAAAGGGTGTCTGTAATCCCCCATTTTATTTTCTAACTAAAGGCCCAGTGCACGAAATTCAGGCACTGGTAGGGTCCCTAACAGCTGCCAGCTGCCGCCTGGGGCCTCCCTCCCTTCCCCCGGCCAGCTCCGCCCCCTGGTTGAACTCTCCCCCAGACAACTCCTGGTGGAGGGCACAATTTGCATACTACGCTTTTATTATATAGGATAGAGGAAGAAAAGGACTTGGAGATAAGTATTTAGAGGCAAAATGTAATTTTGTCTTTGGCCCAAGGATAGGCTGACATCAAAGTAATAAATGAAAAAGGTCTGATTCTTATATTCAAGAGCTGGGTTGTGTCCTAAGCCTGCACACTCACTAGGCACGGTTAGTAGAAGTTTTGCTCACAGAGTTACTAATCTCACAACACCCCTGCAAAGCAAGTAATGATCATCTCCGTTTCCCTGTACCGACAGTGCTCTCAAGGAGGTCATATTCTTGGTAGACCCCTTAGCTGCTGGGAAGCACCGCTCTTTGCTGATTATAACCAGGAGCTTTATCACAGTCTCACTTAATGCTCACAACAGCCCTTTAAAGTAAGTATTGTCTTTTTTCTCCCCGCCCCCACCCACATTTTTTAAAACATATCTTTATTGATTTCAGAGAGGAAGGGAGAGGGAGAGAGAGATAGAAACATCAATGATGAGAGAGAATCATTGACTGGCTGCCTCCTGCACACCCCCTACTGGGGATCGAGCCGGCAACCCAGGCATGTGCCCTGACCGGGAATCGAACCATGATCTCGTGGTTCACAGGTCGACACTCAACCACTGAGCCACACCAGCTGGGCGTAGGTATTGTCTTCATGTTGGGTTGAGGAAACAGACTCAAAGAGGTTAAGACACTTGCCCAAAGTTACAAAGCTAGTAGGACTGACTTCACTTAATGCAAATATTGTTATGGCTGCACAAAATGCTTGTCACTGGACTTTTCATTTTTCTGACTTCAGCATTCCTATCACTTTTGCTGACTGTTCTTCCTCCACCCATCCCTGAATACTGATGTTTCTTTTTCGGTTCTCATTTCACTTATATATCCCCCTGGGCTATATTACTCACCCCAAAATTTTTCAATTACTACCCATACACAGATGGTTTCCAAATCAAAATATCTAGCCCAGATCTCCCTTCTAACCGTAAACCTGCATAGGCAGCTGCCCTCTTGGCAGTCGCTGTGTTATCCAGGGAGCAATATCAACCTCCCAGACCCGAGTCACCTCCTCTCTCTCCTGTCCAATTCTATGGCATTTTTTAAAATCAGGAAATAGCAAGTTTCCCATTCATGAACACAGATCTTAGACTTACCCAGGGAATTTGGGGGAACTCCATCTCTCAGCTGTCTGCCTGGGATAGCCAAGATTAGGGTAGCTGGAGGAGGTTAGGAAGAGTGGGGCAGCCACCACGGGTTTTGGAAGTACTTGCTAGGTCCCTTTCCTCCTGCTCACCTCAGAGATGGTAGAGCACTTCTGAAGACCTCCTAATAATGTGTAGCCTCTATTGCAGGGGTCCTCAAACTTTTTAAACAGGGGGCCAGTTCACTGTCCCTCAGACTGTTGGAGGGCTGGACTATAGTTTAAAAAAAAAAACTATGAACAAATTTCTATGCACACCGCACATATCTTATTTTGAAGTAAAAAATCAAAACAGGAACAAATACAACATTTGTATTTGCATGTGGCCCGCAGGCCGTAGTTTGAGGACCCCTGATCTATTGGGTCTATACTTGACCTATGTTTATAGGACTGTCCTAGATGAAAGCAGCACTTGCAGATTCCTGCCTGACAGTACTTTACACAGAGCATCCACTGTTGAGTAAAATACCTACTGACAAAATGTCACCATGAATTCATTAACACCTTTAGCTGATTCGGTATTTTAATTAATCATGCTTACTTTCTTGTGACAATGGTACAAAAATATAAGACATGGTTAGTCTCAGGCAGGGCGTGGTGTGGATTCAGACTCCCGCAGGTTTGCAAAGCAGAGACAGAACACTAAAATGGGTTTTCTTTTCTTTTTCAGGGAGGGGCTTTTTATTTCCTGGAGCATGTAGCAGCTGAGCATTCAACCTGGAATTACTTCTGGCAGCAGGTCCTGGATCCTGTCTGGTACCTGCTGTTTGATGGGTGCAACCTGACCAGAGAGAGCTGGAAGGCGGTGGAGCGGGCCGGCTTCTCCAAGCTACAGCTGCAGCGCATACAGGCCCCACTGTCTGTGGCGCTGGTGCGCCCTCACATCTATGGATGTGCTGTGAAATAGCGCCAGCAGGGAGTTGAGAGCTGAATGAATGGCTCAGATAACCCAAGGCTTCCGTTTTACACTTAAATACTGATTGGGAAAAGAGAAACCCTTTTTTAGGTAAAGCTGAATTTCATCCTAAAAAGTTTACCTTATACCCTTTTTAGCCATTTTCTATTGTCTCCCAAAGAATCAGTCCATGTTAGGTTGCATCGCTGTTTTCTAGTTTTGTTTAGGCCGCACTTGGATTGAGTTGACTTCTATGTTGTTTTCTTGTATAACACCGTCATTTGTAAATATGTATTTCTATGAGCACTTTCTTTAAGTGCTGTTTGTTCTCCCATCATTGTATTCCCAATGCCAGGAATATAATAAGTGCTTAAGAGATATCTGTTGAATAAATTAGCTAAACAAAACAAAACAAATACAAAATAGCTTTGCACTCTCCTTTAAAGGGAAACAATGAGCCCAGCCAATGAGACTCAGTGATTGAGTGTTGACCTATGAACTAGGAGGTCACGGTTAGATCCCGGTCAGGACACATGCCCAGGTTATGGGCTTGGCCCCCTGTGGAGGGCATACAGGAGGCATGATTCTCTCTCATCATTGATGTTTTTGTCTCTCCCTCCCTATCCCTTCTTCTCTAAAGTCAATAGAAATATATTTTTAAATAGATTTTAAAAAACAATGAGGAAACAATAGCTTTCATAATTAAAGTCTACCATTATCCACAAACCTTAGTTTATTCAGTAACTTCAACTATCTTATTTGTTACCCAACAGATTTGGATTTCACCCCCTCTTTGATTTGAGAGCTTGGTGAGCTAAGTAGTTAAATCACTCAAAAGAAAACTTTGAGAAAGGAGAAATGAAATATCTTAATGACTCGCATACTGAATAAAGAAAGACTAGTTGAAAATTACACTTGACACTTTAGTATTTTCATGAAACTGTCTGAGGCAGTTAAGGGTCTTGGGTTCCTTTTCCTTATTATCTAGCATATACTTTCCTGAATGCAGTCAATTGCAAGCAAGGACAAGGCCCACTGTTACTAGGAAAACCTTGTATAATTAGGTCCACTTCGTAAGAGCCCCTAAAAAGCAGACAACTTGTGAGTGTATAAGAAGTGGGCAAGGATTTATTTGTTGGATTATTCTGATCAAATTTCCACCCATCCCAAGGTGATTTCTTTGTTCCTGGCAACCACCAAAACCTCTGAAAATCATCACAAGTGCTGGGCTGATCAGTCAGAGGGTTTAAGAGCAGAATCTTCAGAAACAGTTTGCATGTATTTTAATAAATTTAGTATATTTTCTGAGATGATTTTGCAAAAGGCCTATTTTAAATAGCAAGTCAATAAATTCAGATGCATTTTAGGAATGGAAATAAAATTAATAGTTTATATGCTAACTCGCTTGTTTTCATTTTTCTTAATGTCTCTGGGAGGGCTTTCCTTCCTCGTGGAAAGTTAAGCTATTTAAACATACAGGTTTTTCTTTCTTCAGCCAGGTAACTGCGCTAGTAAACACAGCTAGCAGAGTTTAGAAAGAGCAATTTTGGAAGGATCCGAATGTGTTTTGAAAAATTCAAGTCCAAAGACCCGACTTGTGAAATCCAGAGAGCAGAAAGAAAGGAGGCTCATTATTCTCGGTGGAACATGAAACAGTGACTGTTGCAGTGAGGTCTGGACACTCACCTAAGGCCTCCTGAGCAGTGGAACAGAATCTCCTCCCACTACAGTCTCCCCAAAGCAGGAACCTCCTTACTCTACCCAATCACTACTGGTTAGGTCAGTAGTGGGTGAGAACTGTGAAAAGCCACAGGTTGACATAGTGAAATGTTACTGGCATGTTGGAAGATAAATAACAGCAAAGTACAAAATACTAGGTACATTCTTACCAATTCCTTCTTACTTAAGTGATTTGGCAAATATTATCCTCACTTTTTCTTTTTTAATCCTCACCTGAGGATATGTTTTTCATTGATTTGAGAGTAAGAAAGAGGGAGAGCAAGAGAAAAACATCAATCAGTTGCCTCACGCACCCCCACCAGGGATTGAACCTGCAACCCGGGCCTGTGCACTGGCCAAGAATAGAACCTGGGACTCTTCAGTATATGGGATGGCATTCTAACCATTGAACAACACCAGCCAGGCCTATCCTCACTTTCTATAGACAACACTAAGGTGCAGAGAAATAAATAAATGAAGTTTCTTACATTCCACAAGTTAAAGAGCAAGTCTTATAAGCCCTGATTCCCAAAACCACAAAACCTGTCTTGACTACAGCTGCCATATTACTTTATCATTGCTTTCCTCCTCAGGCCCAGAATGACACATATTTATGATCATTCCAACAGCCTGAGGACTGAGACTCAATAGGCTCTTATTGACAACTAGAGGCCCTTATTGACAATTTGTGCACTCGGGGAGGGTCCCTCAGCCCAGCCTATGACCTCTTGCAGTCTGGAACCCCTTGGAGGATGTCCACCTCTGGCTTAGGCCTGCTCCAGGGGGAATGGGCCCAAACTGGCAGTCAGACATCGCTCTGGCAGCCCGGCAGCCCTCGGGGGATGTCCACTTGCCAGCAGGAAGCAGGCCTAAGCTGCAGGAGGACATGGGTGGAAGCCAGCTGGTTTGCCCTGAAGGATGTCCTGGATCAGGGTGGGGGTCCCGCTTGGGTGCCTGGCCAGCCTGGGTGAGGGGCTGAGGGCCGTTTTCAGGCTGGCCAAGCCCCCCCCAGCGATGGAAGCTTCCAGACTCTCCTTTTCTTCTTTTTCTATTCTGGGATTTATTTACCTTCTATAATTGAAACTTTGTAGCCTTGAGAGGAGCTCAGAGCTGGCCAGGGCAGGTGGGAGGGAAGCTTGGCTTCCTCCATCACTGGGGCAACCAAGCCTCCTGCTTGCACCAGCTCCATGGCTGCCGGCCACCATCTTGGTTGTGTTAATTTGCATATAGTTGCTCTGATTGACTGGTGGGCATGGCTTAAGGTGCAGTGAAGGCATGGTCAATTTGCATGTTTGTCTTTTATTAGTGTAGATACTGGGTCAGCCCTTTTCTGAACCAATAATGTTTAGATGGGATGGATTATGCTGATTGGCTCAAGTGTAGGTCCCTGTGTTCCATCCCTGGGGTTGAGCACACCCAGATCATGTGGACTGAGACAAGGAGACTTGTGGATTATCCAGATGAAAACACCCTGTGACTGGAGTAAGGGGGAATGGATGCTGGGAAGGCACACCACAAATGCCCAGGATAAGCTCATTGCTGCATTTTAATTTTTTTTTAAGAGAGAGTGGACGGGAGAGGAAGAGAGAGAGAGAGAGAGAGAGAGAGAGAGAGAGAGAGAGAGAGATGAGAGGGACACATCAATTGGTTGCCTCCCACACAGGCCTGATCAGGGCCATGTGCAGGAGGCAGGGCCATGTGTAACCTGCAACCCAGGTATGTACTCTTCCCCCCCCCTCCCCCGCCCCCCAGGGATGTACTATTGACTGGGAACTGAATCTGGGACCCTCTGGTGCTCAGGCAGATGCTCTAACCATTGAGCACACTAGCCAGGGCTCATTGCTGCATTTTGATCAGACCCTCTGTCTGCTTTCCTGCGGTAGATCACACAGTACTATGCTTACAACACTGGCTTTACAGTGGGATAATTGCATACAATGAGAAAAATAAAAGTCAAAATGACATTGGCTTTGGCATCAAAGTGACCTAGGTCAAGTCCTGGCTGTGTCATCATTGACTGTGTGACCTTGAGCAAGTTACTTCCCTTGTCTCACTTTCCTCACCTGTTAATGGGGATAATATCGACCTACAGAGTTAATGTGAGGAGGTAATGAAGTGAAGCACTTGGTGCTTAATAAATGTTGAACTTCATTCAACAAATGTGAGTGCCTACTGGGTACTCTGCTCTTGGTGCTTGGCTTAGAGTCCTGAATAAGCTAGCCCTGGTCCCTCCCTCCGGAAGCATACAGTTGTGGTGATGCTATCTATGAGGGAGAAGCTTGGGAAGAGAACAGAATACGGTCTATCCAGGAGGAAGAGGCTCAGAGGCGTCCTTGAGGAAATGGCATCTGAGCTGAATTCCAGAAGATGAGTAAGCAGTATTGCAGCCTGCCCTGGCCAATGTGCCTCAGTTGGTGGGGATCAGCCTGTGCACTGAGGGGTTGCTGACTCAATTCCTGGTCAGGACACAGGCCCAGTGGGGGGATGGAGGTGCTGACTGATGTATTGCTCTCACATTGATGCTCTCTCTCTCTTCCTTCCTCTCTCTAACAAATAAAAATCTTTAAGAAAAAAAAAGAGCATTTCAGTCTAATGTAACAGCTTGTGCCACCAACTAATGAAGAGAGGAAACACAGTATGTTTGTTAGGGGTAGGAATATTAATCGTGCTCTGTTAACCATGATTGTTAGCTATGGTTTTCCTATCTAATAATAGACAAACATGGCAATTGACCGTACCTTCGCTATGCCTCCCATGAGCTAATTGGCATGATATGCAAATTAACTGCCAACAAATATGGCAGCTAATTTACATACTGCAGGCGGGGCCGGCAGCATGTGACACTGCCTGCAGGACCCGGGACCTGGACCCCTGACCCGGCAAGGCGGGGCCGGTAGCGCCCGACACTGCCCGGGGGATCCGGGCCTTGGATCCATGACCTGGTGAGGGAGCAAAGCAGCGGAGAAGGGAGAGAGCCCAGGTGGCAGAGAAGGGAGGCTAAGCAGCGAAGGGAGGGAGTGAGGCAGCAGAGAAGGGAGCAAAGCCTGCCTCGGTGGGCTTCACTCCCTTCTCTGCTTCGCTGTGGTCTCAGGAAGCCCTATTCTTGCAGGAATCTTCCTGCAACGGGCCTCTAGTAAGAAATATTAATGATGCTCTGTTAACCATGATGGTCCTGTTCTGATTAGAGAAAGCATATTCTAACCTGGCTGAGTTGTACACCCTGGGACATGGGAGTTAACCTGGGAATGTGGTCCATTCTCCTTATCCAAGAACTGCCTATTATCAGGGAAAGATGAACAACTTGTGTTGCCAAAACAACAGAGTCCCAGAGGCGCCAATCCTTTGTAACATTCCGTCCCACCCCCCTGCTCCCCACTCCCCAGTCTACATGGCTTGTAACCTGTAACCATTATGCCCATTCTTATTCCTTTTGCCCACTTCCCCATGTAATCTTTGCCCTTCTATCCAATATAAGCATCTGGCTATGGGGGAGGGGAGATTGAGCAGATTTTCGTGGGTAACATGCTGCTCTCCCAGACTGCCGGCAGTATTGGAATAAACACTCATATATGGTTCAACCCTGTCTCTGCTTAATTGGCTCAAGTAGTGACAGGCAGCCTGGACCCATTGTTTGTCCAGTTTCATGTTCAAGGAACTGAAAGAAAGCAGGCACAGCTGGGCCCCAAAGCCTGAAAGGCGGGTTTTGGCATGGCCACTATTTCCATCAGCTTCTTGTTAATTTTGTTGAGAACCTGGGCCCATGAGCCCAGCACTTATTTTAATGGCTAACGAAAAAAGAACATTCAAAATTTCTTTTATTTACATTATAAAACATTCTGTTCCTAAGTGTTCTGTTTCTTCTGAATTCCTACCTATTTTATACTTGAATAGAAACTGAATCATTGCACAGTAGTTCTTTCTGTACTCTTGACCTTAAATAAGCCTTTCCCTTTAGTGTTGCTTCAGAAAACACAGAACTTCACATAAATTTAATTCTTGCTTATCTGTAAGACAGCTGAGAGTATAATGAATCTTGACAGACTAATATCAACAAAAGCAAAAAAGAAACCTCTTCAGTATTACTTTATCTCAATATGTAAATCCTAAAGCATTCAAGCTACTTTAGACAATAACCGGAATTCCCTGAACCGTGAAAACATCAGAGAATCGAGGTGGGGGGAGGTCACGTTAACTGAGGACAAAAGAAATGAATGTAGAGCCCGGCCAGCATGGCTCAGTGGCTGAACATCAACCTATGAACCAGGAGGTCACAGCTTGATTCCCAGTCAGGGCACATGCCTGGGTTGTGGGCTTGATCCCCAATGTGGGCGTGCAGGAGACAGCCAATCGCTGAGTCTCTCTCATCGTTGATGTTTCTATCTCTCTCTCTCCCTCTCCCTTTCTCTCTGAAATCAATAAAAAAAAAATTTAAAGAAAGAAATGAATATAGACTAGCCAATGCTCCCAATTTCTAGATAAATTTTTAAAAACAGTAATTTGCCAATCGAGCAAGGCATTATTTTGTTTCTAAAGGAAACTACTTGGGAACCTGAAGAGAATTTCATGGGAACAAGGAAAATTACCATTCTCAATTTATCATTCCTAAAAAGTAAAAATCTCTTATGTCCAATACGCTTAATTCAGACTGAGTCTTTCTCAATCTTTAAACTGTATCTGACACTGAACGGTATCAGAGGAATGACAGCGTGAGAGCGTAGCTTGTTCTCTCCCTCTGAAACTTCCACAAGTTAACCAACCATAATTCAACAAAGAAATCTCTGCTCAACACAGATGCATGCCTGAAAGACCTGGTAGGGGTGAGGTGGGGGATGAGGGTGCGGGGTTTCAGCCTACAACAACATGTTATGTCAGGTTATAAAAAGTGTTCAAAGAATGATGGAGCCATATCAATAGGACATAAGAGCCAGCTTGAAGGGACTCATACTAGCCAAACCTAGGACCATTAGACCATCAAAATCAATAATTATAGAAATGGATAACCTACCGAATTAAATAGAAATGCATGAGTCCAAACGGATACAAATAAATAGGAAATAAAAGAAAGCAATTCCTTATAGTAGAATGCCAACTAAAAAATACAAAAGAAATTATGGCTTTAAAAAAATGACCATTTATTAATTGATTCAGGCAAGAATCATCAATGTATGCTGAAATTAATGGGTAAAAGTGTGATAAATAACAGGATATTTGTACAATATTAAAATATCTCATCACAAAAGACGGTAACTATAAAGGGGGAAATAATAACCTTACTAAAAACTTGCACACCCCACCTTAATCCAGTGACAATGCAGTGGTGTGCTACTGCTACTCACCCCAACTCAAGAGAGGCGCACCCCTTCCCAATGTTGTGTTCAGTGATGACATGACCGTGATGGGGGTATTTGCACCGAAATCCGCAAGTGTTACAAATCCAGGCTTTTTACCCCTGAGAACCAACTGTTAGTTATTTATAAGCATAATAACTGCATCAAAGTTACTTCCCCCAAGCAAGCTGACTTTATTCGTGATAGCACAGACTACGGACACAGCCTCTCTTTTGTGGTATTCTGCCCGAAATGTATACCCTCATTCTAAGGATGAGAAAGCATCAGAAAGAATCTAAATTGAAAAACCTTCTACAAAGTAACCGACGAAAGGAAGAAATCACATCTAGAGAAAAATGACCAAACAAATGCGACTAAATGTTAGCCATGGAGAACCTGGGTGCGGGGCATACAATTCTTGGTACTGTTCTGGGAACTTCCCTGTAAGTCTGACTTAAAAGAAAAAAATTAAAGTTATAAGGAAAAAACCGCCAATGCTACCTGGTCCTCTGCCCTCATCCTGCGACCCCGGACATCTAAGGGCATCACAGACCTGTTATTGCTCAATCTCGGGTGGCTGAACGCCCCTTGTCCCTCTAAGAAGTTGGGGGACGCCGACCACTCGGGGTCGTGTAGCTAGTTAGCAGGCCAGAGTGTTGTTCATTATGGTCGAGGCGGTGAGGCCTCAAGGTGTCCAAGGGCGCGGTCCCAACAGAAGCGAAGCAGCGTCCACCAGCCACAGGGGGCTGCCCCTCTGGCGAGCACATATTCCTAAAAGACAAGAACCTTAGCCCTCAGATGGCTGACCCCATCCCTCCCCACAAACCCAGTGCTGTCCTCTGTGCCCACTTTCCTCTTTATCTTGGGCCTTGGAGCCGGGTACCAGCACTCACAGCCACAGAGCGAAGTGGGGAGTTCCCTTGTGAAGACAGAATCAAGTAATGGCATCTCCAAAAGCCTTAATGTCCCCTTAATGCTGCCTTTGAAAGCCTAATGCTTGTGGTCCGGGTGCTGCTGCTGCTTCCCAGGGTGGCTGTGAAAACTCTGGCCAATACCAGCTCGCCACTCCCCCTGGGAGGAGGGTGCTGATCGGCTGGTGGGCTTTCCCATTATCTATCAATTAGCTGGAAGCTGAGCGAAGTGTGTTCAGCCTTACAACGCTGTTCTGATCTACTGCTCTCTGCTCGGGGGACACCAGGACACAGCAGGTGGTGGGCTACGCCAAAGGTACCGTGCGTCTCCACTTCCCCGTTGCATTTGCTAATGGAAGCTGACTCATAGGATGAAGCCATCCGATTTGACGTTTTGAGATGAAGGTAGCAAGTTGCAGGGATAACAGGCTGAGGTGCTGTTAAGCCATGTTGACAGTGACTATAGCTGCTCTTCCAAGTGTCTTCATTCTTCCTGGGTGGACGAGGAAGGTTATTGCCCTTGTCTAGCACAGCACCTGGCACATGGTAGGTGTTTGATAAATACCAATGACTTTAGCATGCTCTGCACATCCTGTAGCACTGAGTGCTCACTCTTCCATCCCCGGTAAATCTGAAAGTATTGTTGCCTGTGTTGGCACTGCTGTCATTCTTTAAAATGATACTTTGTCAAATAAACTCTGTGTTCTTACTGTTTGTGGGAGAATTCTGAGGTTCCCAATGATCCCAAATGCTGAGCAGTGAAAAGAGACTGAAAACATAGGATCTGTTTCACTCTGTATTCATGGGATCTGATTATGACTCTTTATATATTTTTCTTTTACGCCCTCTACACAAAATGAAAGGATCCCATGATGAAAAGGGTGAAGAAAAGATGACTTTATTTCAATTGAGCAGACAGACATGACAAACAAATACAGACAGACCACATAATCAAAAGGATATTGGGAGCCCGGCCAGTGTTGCTCAGTGGTTGAGTGTAGACCTATGAACTAGGAGGTCACAGTTCGATTCCCAGTCAGGGCACATGTCTGGGTTGTGGGCTCAATCCTCAGAGGGGGATGTGCAGGAGGCAGCCGATCAATGATTCTCTCTCATCATTGATGTTTCTATCTCTCTCTCTCCCTTCCTCTCTGAAATCAATAATGTGTGTGTGTGTGTGTGTGTGTGTGTGTATTAAAAGTATATTGGGAGAAGATAAATGGACTCTTTTTAATGATTCACAGCAACCTCATTTATCCCCTACTGTTACTAGAGAGAAAAATGTCATCAGATAACCAGTGGTCAGCAGATGAGGACGAAGGCCAATTTTCCCGGCTGATCAGGAAATCTAGAGACTCCCCCTTTGTGCCTGTAGGTAAGTACAAGCCTTGACTGGGTGCTGGAAAACTGTAATCGTACAGTAATGCTTTGCCCAGTATCCTGGAGGGTTGACATGTTTTATGAAACTGATTTTTTTTTCAATAATTGAAGCTAACCCCCTCTAAGCATAAGCTAAACTTTCAGAAGTTTCTAGGATATGGTGAATCCCCAATAATGGTTAGCTATTATCATTACGGAGCATCAGATTTTATTCTTCATTCTATCCATCTTCATTAGAGGGTTAAATAAAATTATTAGACCCCAGCCAATCGAAAGGGAATTAATTGAACGGACTTTAATTTTCTGTGATGACTCAGTAGCCACTGAGAGCCTATCGGGACTATGATGATGGATAAGTCCCTCCGTCCTCTAAGTAACTCCAACTTTAAATTCTTGTGTCTGATGTTTACAGATTTTTTGTTTCTCCCATATTACCGGATACCATAAAGAACTTCTGCCTCTGACGTCCTCTGGCACTAGAAGCTTAGATACCTAAACTTAAAAGAACTATGAGTCAATTCAGAGAAAAAAAGCTCTGAAGGAAAGCCTGGGCTTCCCTTACACCCGAGAGCATGAACTATGTGATGTTCATGCGCAGCGGCCCTTCTTCCTGCTTCCTGATCTACTCCAGATGTTGAGGTTGATGGTTAAGTAGTCTCCAGATTAAAGAAGTGTTATTATGATTAGAACTGGAGTCTTGGCCTCTTTATCCTTTCCCAACACATATTTAGTATGTTTACATTTTCAACAAATACTACATGTATGTAGGGTTAAAAAAAAATCTAGGCCCCAATATTGTTTTTTAAAATCGAAGCTTTCTCTTCTCTTTTGGATGCTTCAGCTGCCTTTAGCATTATTATTGTATACGGCAGCCATGCCTCTTTCCTTACAACTTTGGAAACCATTACAATAACCTATTTAAATTAGACTTACATAAGTTTGTGATTAATTCTATAAATCCTTCTAAGTAGGTATGTCATGTTTCCATTGTCACTGGAAGTCTAGCAACTTCATGTCATTATTCACATATCAACACGAATTAAAGTTTTACTTTATAGTAATATTGTGTTTAGAAGTTTCATTAATTTGAATGACTTGTAATAGCACCCATAACAAATCTAAACAAATAAATTTATAGTGATTTATTCACCCTCCTTAGCATTTTTAACTAGAAAAACAATTCAAGACCTCGATGCCACCTGCACAGATCACTGTAATGAGCAGGATTAATCACTGTGCCTGCCGTAAATTAAATTATTTTCCAGACACATTTAAGGTGATTAAAGTAGAAAGATTAAAGTGTTTCCAGCTAAATTCAATTATATCCAAATTACAGAGACACTATATGGAAAACAGTAAAGGTTCTGACTTTAATCTCTAAAAGAAACAAAACCAATTTAAGTAAGAACAGAACCTTGATTTGATAAGGGAAAAGAACCAAGTTTTTGCTAGAAAAATAATGATAAAATTGGGTATATATTATTGAGTAGTTTGTTTAGCTATTGTTATTTTAATAATATGTATTTCCTGCTATAGGATAGAGTGTCCAGTGCAAACAATTTACAAAACATTCTTTGTTATCTTCAACAACTTCCATCATTATAATCTATTTATATTGTTTAGAATGGTCCTAGATCTTAAGACCTGTACATATATTCTGTGCATTTAAACTATGTTGATAGATCGTTTTTGCTTCTTTCACTTAACATTTCATATGTACATTTCTGTGTATTAGTACTTTCTATACTTACAATATTTTTATAGCTCTGACAGGTTTTCCTTTGTTTGAGCTATTTGGGTTGTTTAGTTTTTCCTCATATATAATGTAGCCACAAAATCTTTGTGTCAACTTCCTAAATTTTCTTTTGCTTATTTCCTTGGAGTATGTTCCCAAAGGTCGAATTTCCAGAGCAGGAAGCATGTTCAGTTTAATGTCACTTATTATATATTTCCAGAGTTCTTTCCAGAAAGATTTAGCTAAACTTACAGAGCTTTCATCATGGGACCATCTCTCAATGTGCCTACCATCATCATTTTATTAGTATTTGCTTGTTGCTGATTTTCTATATTTGTCATTTTTATTTCAATTTATTTTTATATTTTACTTTTTTATCTTTACTGTTGAGAATATTACAGATGTCTCCTCTTTCCCCCCATTGCTCCCCTCCACCCAGTTCCCGCCCCACCTGACCTTCACCACACTATTGTCTGTGTCCATGGGTTATGCATATATGCTCAACCACTGAGCCACACTGGCCCGGCAGAATAGCAATCTTTGATTAACCAAATTCCTTGGTTAACCTCTCCCCATTCCCCACTCTCCCTTCCCCCTGAAATTCATCAGTCTGTAACATGCTTCCATGCCTCTGGACCTGTTTTGTTCAGCATTTTATTTTGTTCATTAGATTCCACATATGAGTAAGATCACGTGATATTTGTTTCTCTGACTGGCTTATTTCACTTAGCATAATGCTCTCCAGGTCCCTCCTTGCTGTCTCAATGGGTCAAAGATCCTTCTTTTTTATAGCTGCATAGTATTCCCTGGTGTAAATGTACCGTGGCTTTTTTATCCACTCATCTACTGATGGGCACTTGGGCTGTTTCCAGATCTTAGCTATTGTGAATTGTGCTGCTATGAACATAGGGGGTACATATATTCTTTCTGATTGGTGTTTCAGGATTCTTAGGATATATTTCTAGAAGTGGGATCACTGGGTCAAACAGAAGTTCAATTTTTTATTTTTTAAGAAAATTCTATACTGGCTTGTGTCAACTTCCTAAATTTTCTTTTGCTTATTTCCTTGGAGTATGTTCCCAAAGGTAGAATTAGGGAACATACTCCAAGGAATGTTCCCAAAATCTCCATAATGGCTTCACCAGCCTGTATTCCCACCAGCAGTGTACTAGGGTTCAATTTTATTTATTGCTAATAAGCCTATAAAATATGTTTTTATTTACTCTGATTCTTACTTCCATTTGTTAAGTGGATCCTAAAAGAATAAATATAACCTTGCTCACCTATGAAGATACACATGTGCCAACACATTTCATCAAAACTTGCTACTCTGCCTGGCCGGTGTGGCTCAGTGGTTGAACATCTACCTACGAACAGAGGTGGTCATGGTTTGATTCCCGGTCAGGCTTGATCCCCAGTGGGGGGTGTGCAGGAAGCAGTCAATCAATGATTCTCTCTCATCATTGATGTTTCTATCTCTCTCTCCCACTCCCTTCCTCTCTGAAATCAATTAAAAAATATTTTTTAAAAACTTTGTTATTCTGCATAAATATTAATTGCATTGCCCCGCTGGTGTGGCTCAGTGGTTGAGTGTCAACCTATGAACCAGGCAATTAGGGTTCAATTCCTGGCCAAGGGAATTGAAATAAAATATCAATTGAATTTTTATGTACTAACAATGGACACATGGAAACCAAACTTAAAAACATAATACCCTTTCTCAAAGTAGAAGAAATGACTTTTTAAAGCACATAATTTCTGAATTTGCCAAGTTTTTTTATTTAAATAGTATCACATAGGCAAAGTGGTATTGGAAATAATTTTGTGAAATAAAGTCTACATAGGAATATTTGAACAATGTCCAAAAAAACTCCATAATACCATTTACAATCACTCCAAAGAAAGTTGCTTAGGTATCAGCTTAAGAAAACATGTATAGAATCTGTATGCTGAAAATTACAAAATGCTAAAGAAATTACAGAAGACCTAAACTAATGTAGAGACTATTGTGTTCATGGATTAGAAGACTCAATATAAAGATGTCAATTCTCCCCAAACTGATTTATAGGTTTAGTGTAATTCCTATCAAAATCCCAGCAAGTTTTAAGTTCTAGAATGGTTAAAATAATACTAAGGCATATAGCTACAGCAAACAAGATGGTGTGATATAGATGGAGGGATAAATGCATATATCAGCAGGATAAAGGAGAAAACTCAAAATATAGACCCACACTTTTATTCAAGTTTTCTTCATTCTTATGTTAAAATATTACATCTGTCCTTGTCATTTTAATTCTACCTTGCCATCTTTTGGATGTTATAAGTATGCTAGTCTATTTTCTTCTATTTTTTGTTGTTGATATTTTTGTTTTATTTTTACATTTAATTCTAACCCATCCAGGATTTTTTTGTAGTGTCTGGTGTGAGATAGAAATCCAAGTTAGTTCTCTATACCAATAAACTGTACTCATTATGTTTATTAAATAATTATTCCTTTATCGGTTATTTGATTATTTTGACTTGTCGTGGCTCAAGTTATCACAATGATTTTTTGTTTGTTTGGTTGGTTGGTTTTTTTAAATCACAGTGTTTTAAATTTCTTTCCAAGATCTTTCCTATTCAGTTGATCAGTTTTCTGTTTTGGAGCCAATCACATAGTACCTTGATTGCCACAGCAATAATTTCACCCTTAACATTTGTAGAGAATGCAGAAATATTGGTAGGGATTTCTGGAGTTTTCTAGAATCACAGTTCTTCCTGGAATTACATACTTCCTGTACATCTCTCATTCACTTAAAGTCTCAATTTTACAGAAGATTCAAATTTTATCACTTTACTCCATTGGCTCATTATTTGATAACAAGTAGAAAGGAATAAAGCCAAACACTCAAAAGCTATAAGATGTTTGGTAGGTCTACTTACTAAGGACTTGTCCAAATGTGAGCCTTGCAGCATGCACAATTTGAAATCATACCTCAGGAAAATTAGAAATTACTAAACAAATTACTACACTATATGGTTCTGGTTTCCCTGGGAAAAGGCTAAACTGCAAATATTAAATCCATGAGTTATGAGTCCATTTTAAAATCTGGTGAATCAGCCCTAGCTGGTTTGACTCAGTGGATAGAGCATCGGCCTGTAGACTGAAGGGTACAGGGGTCAATTCCTGTTAAGGGCACATGCCCGGCTGGAGGGCTCAATCCCCAGTAGGAGGAGCCGATAAATGATTCTCTCTCATCATTGGTGTTTCTATCTCTGAAATAAAAATATTTTTTAAAATAAAATAAAATCTGGTGAATCAAATCCAGCATGGTTCCTTGGCTATCTTGGCTGCTCATCCTCTAAGCACTAATCCTTTGGACAGTCCTTTATTCAACTCTCTAAGCTCATGCCAATCTGGCCTGCTACTTATATAACCCCTCCTTTTTTAATTCACAGGGATAGCAGGCTTTATGACTGTGGTGTCCTATGGTCTTTACAAGTTAAAGAACAGAAGAAATCAGAAAATGTCCATTCATCTTATTCACATGAGAGTTGCTGCCCAAGGATTTGTTGTAGGAGCTGTGACTCTAGGTAACCTGCTTAATTTGTAGCTTGTGTTTAGCTACCTTTGAGAGTATTTTTATTTATTCATAGTTGAAGATGAATATTGGGTCAAGATGACATAATGGTGGAAGGCTGGTAAGAAAAACAGTTCTTCACTTGGTTGAGGTTGCTGCTCTAATATAGGCTTACTTTCTTAAAATTTTAAACACTGAAAAAAACACCACCACAGTAGGCAGAAGGTACACATTTCCAGTTATAAAATAAGTAAGTCATGGAATGGAATGTACAGATTGGCAACTCTAGCTAATAGCACTGTATTGCATACCTGAAAGTTGCTAAGAGAGCAGATCTTAAAAGTTCTCATCACAAGGAAAAAAAGTCTGTAACTGTGTATGGTGATGGATGCCAACTAGACTTATTGTGGTGATCATTTCACAATATATACAAATATCAAATCATTATGTTGTACACCTGAAGTTAATGTAATGTTGTATGGCAATTATACATCAATTTTTAAAAACCCAGTGGAGAACTAGGTTATGGGCCCTGTTAGCCTCTATTACGAAAGCAGTGAACAGTCCATACCTACATCAGCTGAAAGCAGTAGTTATACACCTGCCTTTATTGCTCAGTTACGAGGAACAGTCATGGTTCCCGGCCGATTTGAACAACAGATATAATTACTAAAGTTTAACTGGGAAGAAAACATTTTTAGAGTCCACAAGTCTTAATATCCTTATTCTCCTTTTATTCCAAGTTTGAGAAATAGGAAACCTTTTTTATTAGTCTATAAATTAAGCGATACTTACACAGTCAAATCCAGAAAAATTATTTGGTTAATTCAGGTTATATCAACAGCTAAATCATATACTGTAGTTCTAAGAAAGAGTCCACTTTGGAACCTAAATTATCTTGATTTTTTGGGGTCTATATTCATGAGACCAAGGCACAATGTTCTTAGCTCCCCTCCAGGCTATAGAGAGTAGAATCAGCCTGAGAGTAAGTCTAGGACTACGGAGATAGGTGTGGGGCTTGCATATAGGGAGTTAAATGGTAATTACCTTATTACTATGAACTGTGATAAGGGGAGTCTTGAACAAAGTACAAAAAGAAACTTTACAAAGTTATAGTCCTCGTTTGTGTCCTTCCGCAAATATTTACTAGGCATTTTCTATTTGCAAGGCGCGGAACTGGTCCATAGATGTAGGGGTTGGACTTGGTCCCTACCCTCACATACTGTTCGTCTCCTCAGGGAAAGACACCAATGAGACCAAGAACAGGAGAAGAAAATACAAAGTCATAGGTGCTATGGCGGAGGTAACATGGGTGCTCTGGGAGCACAGGCACAAAGGAGGGGCATTTGACTGGCGCTGAGAGTCCAAGAGGCTTCTCTAAGGATGTAAACTGTATAATGAGCCAAGAAATGGAGGAATTCACTAGACAGAGGAGGAGATGAAGGATTCACCAGGCAGAGGAGGAGATGAAGGATTCACCAGGCAGAGGAGGAGATGAGGGATTCCTGAGGCAGAGGAGATGAGGAATTCACCAGGCAGAGGAGGAGATGAGGGATTCACCAGGCAGAGGAGGAGATGAGGGATTCACCAGGCAGAGGAGGAGATGAGGGATTCACCAGGCAGAGGAGGAGATGAGGGATTCACCAGGCAGAGGAGGAGATGAGGGATTCACCAGGCAGAGGAGGAGATGAGGGATTCACCAGGCAGAGGAGGAGATGAGGGATTCACCAGGCAGAGGAGGAGATGAGGGATTCACCAGGCAGAGGAGGAGATGAGGGATTCACCAGGCAGAGGAGGAGATGAGGGATTCACCAGGCAGAGGAGGAGATGAGGGATTCACCAGGCAGAGGAGGAGGAAAGGAAAGGAATTCTTTCCTGGAAGTCATGCAGCCTTCAGGTCCCTCACAGGACCAGGAGCTAGGAATTAAAAGCCCTGGGCCCACCATTTTGTGTTCCCACGTTGTCCGGCACACTTACAAGTACCAACCGTATTATACTCCCGCTTCCACCAAGTGCTGTATGGAAGTAAACACTTGATCAGAAAATGCCGTGCTTTTTATAGGCATCTGATTAAGGGTATCTACAGGCAATAATTTCACAAAATCTTCTGCTGCTAATGCATGCTAGCATCCTCTTTACCACTGTAAGAAATGACCATTAATACCTGTAAGTCTACTCAGCCCAGAGATCCAATTCCAGATAACCTGGAACCAACACAAAGAACTATCCTCATGGTTATGTCTCTCTGGAAGCTTCTGATACCAAATTCTGTTTCAATCAAGGTTCAGTCAGAGAAGGAAAACTATTAGAGATGATATATAAAAAGGGATTTATTATAGAGATATGATCTTAAGCAAATTTGGGAGCATGGACTGTTTAAAGTCCATGTTAGGCTTGTTGCTTGTGTTTCTGATGCTGGGGCCTGAGGTCACAGAGGGAGCGGCT